TTTTTTTGTAAATCTTTTGTCTCTAAAATATGTGTTTATATAACTTTGATGAAAATAAAAGCTAAAACTTAAAATRATGAATTACTAAAGAAATGTTTACTCAAATTTGGAAAATTACCACCAGATATACATGTGTCATAGACACATAAAAACGACTAGAAAATAGGAAAAGATTCTTAGAGCCAGCTATAACACCAGAGCAAGATCCTAGGCTTCTGCTACTTTGCCAGGTATGAGTCCTTTTATTATTACTTGACAGTGGAAAGCCTGGTAGTTTCCAGGGAGAGAGAAAGACAACATGAAGAAGAAAATAATGGGTGGAAAWGGTGCAGATGGAAAAGCACTTAATTGTTTCAACACAATAACTCATTTAGCCAGTGGTTCAGAAGAATTTCAGCATTTTAACAATTAGTTCCATCATGCTGAAATGTCCTGTTAGACTATCAGCCAGTATCAAAATGCCAAAGAGAATAATTTTATAGAAACAAATATAGAGAATTAAAGTGATGTTTTTAGATTATTGCTTGTTTACTCAAAATATGAAAAACATGGTCTCAAAATGCAGAAAATTCTAACTAGAGGTACATTATAGTGGCTTTCAGATAAATATGTGGCATTTAAATGCAAATTGATATCTTAAAGGAATTGGGGGGAGATTAGAGTGTTTAAGAGGACATAAAGGCAAATATATTTGGAATTCTAGATATGTTAAAATAGTAATAAAGTAACATTACATTTTTCAGATTATCATTTAAAAAGAAAAGTCTAAAGAAAAATATATATCTTAAACTGGGTGGTAGATTCATGGGTATTTATATTATTAATCTGCTTTATTACTTATATTCTTTTATACAAATCTAATATATCCATAAAAGAGGAAAAGATTAGAAGTTTTTTTGTTTTGTCTTGTTTTGACTTTTGTGGTACTGAAAATTGAATACAGAGGACCACTAAGCTACATCCCCAGTCTTTGAATTTTATTTTTGAGACAAGGTCTTGCTAAATTGCCCAGGCTAGCCTTGAACTTGGACTTTTCCAGCCACAGCTTCCCAAGTAGCTGGGATCACAGGTGTGTTCCACTGTGTGCTTCTAAGACTAAAGATTTTAAAAATAAACAGTTTAAGTATTGAAAAGAGCCTTTCAGGTATAGCAATTGCATTGTTATAATATTTTGAAATATATTCTCTTGTAGTTGAAAAACCGAGGTCGCTGGCTCCACTGGAATGAATTAATTAAAAGTACTGATTTAGAAGATAAGCGCATCAAGATTCAAGATATCATAGTCCCTACAATGGACACAATTAGATATACATTTCTAATGGATTTGAGCATTACCTATGCAAAGTAAGGAACCCTATTATATACATGAATTTTAAATGTAACAGTTCATTCTAGCAATTTTTAAAGTAAACTCTGAGGTTATCCAGTTTTAGGTAACTGAGATCCYAGGGGACTAATTGTATGCCTAAAGTGACATCTGTGCTATTGGCAAACCTAGAATTCAGGTTTCCTATTGTGTACTCCAACATCTGCCATCATATTTGTTATCTTGTGAGTCACCTTGTATTTCTCTTGTTTGTAAAAAATGACTAAAAGCCAGTTGCAATGTTATTGTGAAAAGCTATACATTATAGCTTAGTTATAGTTCAGTTTGATATCTAAGATATCTTTGATATCAAACTGATGATGATCCACATTCTCCCATTACACTTAGCATTTTTTAAAATATGTTCTATGCTGGTTCTGATTCTATAGTTTAATATGAATATTACAAACTCAGATTTTAATCAGAATAATACATCAAAAAATAGTATATAAAACTGGTCAGGAGACTAGACATTTACTATAGCCATATCTATACCAACTTTTTTTTTTTTGGAATACTTGGGATTGAACCCAGCACTGCACTACTGAGCTACCTCCCTAGCCCTTTCTTTTGTATTTTGAGACAGAATCTTGTTAAGTTGCTAAGGCTGGATTTGAATTTGTGATTCTCCTGCCTCAGCCTCTCAAGTAGCTAAGATTAGATATATACTACCATGTCTGGCACCATGCCAACTTTTAAAATAATATTTTCAGTTTCTTTTAAAACATTAGGTGTAACTTATCATCAATACTACTTAAACTTTATAAATGTCATGTTATTTTTAAATAAAGAACTTGCATCTGAGTGTATTTTGTAGCACTTTCATGTTGTTTTTTTWWWAAAAAAAAAACAGGAAAATAGCTATGGGGAAAATTATTTTATCCCTGTTTTGTATCTCTAGTTGCATTTTTTTCAACTTTAGAGGCTAATAGTCAAAACTTTGTAGCAGGTCTTGGGAGCCTAATATAGGAGGATAAGGCTAGCCTGGGCATCATAGTGAGAAACCACCTCAAAACAACAACAACAAGAAAAATATTTTAAAATTAATAAGTACATAATTACAGAGGAAACTRCTTATATAAAAATTTATTAAAATACTGAGTATATTTGAGTTATAGAAGTCAAGTTTCTGCTTCTTTATTAACACACTAATAAGATACAGCAGTGGATTTGAAGACTAT